TATATAGATTAAAAAATTTTTTTATCAATTTTTTTTTAATTCAATTTTAAAAACTGAGTACTCTTGAACACTATATGATTGTTGCTACTCTATCTGGCCTTCCAGATGCTAATATTTCTATAATATTGTTTAATAAACAAAATAGAAGAATCGTATGCATATCTTATACAAATAAAGTGTTTTAAATCTTACAATCATACTTTATTTGTCCATTCTTTAAAAAGAAAAAAATTTAACTTGTAATAAATATTTTTATAGATTGAGGTGCAGGATTCGACACCAAATGTTAATGTAGCAAAGAGTTCAAAAATAATTACACCAATAGATAAAGAACGCTTTATAATTTTGGGATTAGATCCTAGATCTCCAGCTGCAGATTTTGACAGAACTCCTATCTTAATGCCAAAATCTCTTGCATTGATAAAAGCACGATCACAAGAAAATTTGAGTCATAAAGGTAGTTACGAAGTGGATATTTACAATCCGAAAAATTCTTGTCAGAAGATCGATACAGCGATTAATATCCCCGAAACACGATTATCCGATACAGCTTCTGAAAGTCTGAAAGCATTAGATACAGAGGAACAAGATGGAGTATCTAGCACATCTCTGTACAATTCTGATTTAAATATCTCCAAAAGTGAAAAGGAAATTACAGTTATTAGAAATCTGAAATATATTAGTGAACAGAGAAAATTGTTGATCTCGGACAAACAGATAGTTGCTATTGATAATGAAGAAGACAAAAATAAGACAGAAAAACAGGATGATTGTGAAAATATTGAATCTAATACAAAGATAAGAGATGACGATAAGATTAAATTGTGGCATTCACTATCTTCGGAGAAATGCGTATCAGGTAAGAAGGATGAGAAAAAATTATTATGGAAAAAAGTTTCAAGAGACGATGTAATTATAACGTTTGATAAATATACTACGATTAGTACCTCTTTAAAGCCAATGAAAACAGATTTTCGAAAAAAGGGAAACACAAAAGGAAAAAAAAAGAACGTTAAAGTAAATGTTAAATTTAATGAAGAAAAAATGTTTACACTTGAGAACAAACAGGAAATTGAAATGTATGAGGTAATTTATATAATACTATAGTATTATATACAAAATTATATATATATATATACATATATTTGCAAATAATTAATAATTTCTTTAGAATCGAATACCTCTTGGCAATCGATCTAATAATAATCAGATACAACAAAAACTACAACAATTATTGAAAAACAGGAATACTGCTATCGGAACACAGGAAAATACGCCACCATCTAAGACATATAGTAAAAAGACTAGAAATGGAACTCAATGGGATCCGAATTCCACGGTCCTCATTTGATTAAAACGTTTAAGTTAGCTGATTTATCTTATGCTTAAGAATAGAATAAAAATGACAATAAGTGAATTTGTTATTAACTAATAAAATTTAATATAACTCATTTCGAAATAAATTATAAAATAAATTATCTAAATAAACATTTCAATATTTATTTAAGTATCATGTTTCTGCATTATCGTACGAATTTGAGTTTTTACCGCTTGAATCGAAGACTGAAGATCTTTGCTAGATTGTATCAAAGATATTACACTGAAAAATACATTTGAAATAAATTAGAATCATGTATACGTTTAAAATATTATATTGCAAACTAAGAAGTTTGCAATATATAAGCTATACAGAATATCTCAAAAAGTATTTGTTACAGATTGATTTACTATATTTAATTATTTAGTTGCATTAAATTTCATATGCGAACATGCCGGTTATAAGCTTGTTTGCATTACACAGGGTTGTCAAATAGAAAATTGAAATGTATGAGGTAATTTATTTACAATATTATAGTACTATATATGTATATACAAAATTATATATATATTTGCAAATAATTAATAATTTCTTTAGAATCGAATACCTCTTGGCAATCGATCTAATAATAATCAAATACAAAAAAAACCGCAACAATTGTTGAAAAACAAAATTCAAAATTTAACTTTTCCCTGATTTCCAAAATTTTATGATTTTCCTTGAATATTTTGAATTTTATGTATTTTTATCCTGATTTGGAAATCGTTAAATATTTTGTTAAGAGATCAATTTAACGTAGCAATGTAAATTACTATTAAATTACTATGTTGCTGACACTACTTGCATTTTTAATTGTCTTAGTAGTGTTTCAAAACTTAGGCCTCTAATAATCCTTTTTACATCGAGTATTTGATATGCGTAACTTTCTATTAAATTATCTTAATTTTAGCAATATATTTAAAGAATGATCTAAATTATAACGTACAATACGCACCAAAATGATAAATATACATATCATGTATATGTTTACACGTTATCGCCGAAATAAAAATATTCAATTCAATAGAAATAGATATTCGTTAGTGTCCATATCAAGTGTGATGTAAACTAGAGTGCGTTCCGAGATATGCATGAAGCACATGGTAGGTATTATTTTATTCTTCGATGAAGTATAATGATGCATCATGCGCTTTGTGCGTAATTCGGAATGCATCCATATCTATCTTGAAAAGAAACGCAAAGCTTATGCGTTGCTTACGTCTACAATTTAAGTTTAAGTAAGCGTTACGTCAATTCAAACTCATACTTATGCATCTAAATGCATAAGTATAGCTTATTCGTACAGAGGTTGAAATAAATAGTATATTTATGTTCAATCTCTGTATGAATAAGCTTTATGCCTAAATTCTAAACAGAATCATAAGGTTTGTAATATATTCTTGTAAGAATCTTTAAGTGCTTATACCTTATATTTATATAATATTTTTCCAGACAGCTTACTAGCCATAAAATTTACTACAAGAAATTGTAGATATTTACGAATAATCGTACGTCCTCTACTATATATATTCATAAAATTAGAATATAAGTTCTTACAAATTTTACGAGAACACGTTATAAGTTTTATGATTCTGCTTAGAATTGATCCATTAATTCCGAAATCCATCGAAAAGAAAATGTTGCAATCTTTTAATTATTGATTGTACATATATTAAACTTCTTTAAAGCCTAAAGTTTTAATTTTTCAGAAAATTAAATTTTACAAAATTATTTTTCTCTAATTTCCCGTTTTCAATTTCCTGATCTCTAATTTTGTGGCAACCCTGTTACATTTCAAAGTCGCAAGACGTTTTGAAATTTCCTGTATATGCATGCCAAAGCATATATACCTTGGATTTTTTATGACTATCTTCTTTTCATTATTAGGCTTTTCCAATAACTTGATTGTGATTTTACTTCCCACTTTCTTTACATTACAGAATACATTCGTTTTCTCAGAGAAATTTAATCGCATGATATTTTTAGTATCTATCAATTGTGGTCGAACAACTTTAACTTTGTCAATACAGCATACTCTGTAATTTTTCTGTTTTTCTGTTTTCTGTTTTCTGTTTGAATCTAGATTTTTATCTGCTTGTTGACTCCCCGTTTGCATCAATGCCTCAGTCGATTGATACGGCACTGGATATGACAATGTTTCTCCAGGATAAAAATGTTTAATCCGTTCCTTGGTAAGGGGCAAAGTAGGAGTTTTCTTTTTTCTATGATACTGTTCTCTGCAAGTAAATATTTAATATATTAGATGTATAACTTTGCTTCCGCCGTTTTCCTATAGATGGCTTTAACGGTAAGTGATGGTCGAAATAAATAGATCATAGACGTCATACAATAAACTTGGGCATCTGTCAACATAACCTCATAGAAACATTAGTCGATTTGTGTCTGCATCATAAAGTTATTCTCGATTGATTGAAAATGTCAGTTTACGAGCCAAATTCTCGTCATTTGCGGGAGATTTTAATTTTTTGCTTCAATATGAAGAAATCTGCGGCTGAGGCTCATCGAATGCTCTCAAATACTTATGGTGAGGCCGCTATTAGTGAAAGAACGTGTCGTTAGTGGATTCAACGCTTCAAGAACGGTGATTTTGACGTCAAAGACCGGCATAGCGGTGAAAGAGAGAAAATTTTCGAAGATGCAGAATTGGAGGCATTACTTGAGCAAGACTCGTGTCAAAATCAAGAAGAATTGGCACGATCATTGGGAGTGACTCAACAAGCCATTTCAAAACGCCTCAAAGCCATGGGAATGATTCAGAAGCAAGGAAATTGGGTGCCGTACGAATTGAAGCCGAGAGATGTTGAACGGCGTTTGTTTGCTTGTGAACAGCTGCTTGAAAGGCAAAGACGGAAGGGATTTCGCATTATGACTGGGGACGAAAAATGGGTTCATTACGATAATCCCAAGCGCAGAAAATTATGGGGAGTTCCTCCCGGCCATGCTTCCACGTCGACGGCCAAACCGAATATTCACGGCTCCAAGGTCATGCTCTGTATTTGGTGGGACCAGCTCGGCGTAGTGTATTATGAACTGTTAAAACCGACTGAAATAATCACAGGCGATCGGTATCGAACGCAATTGATGCGTTTGAGCCGAGCATTGAAAGACAAACGACCGCAATACAACGAGAGATACGATAAAATGATTTTGCAGCATGACAATGCTCGACCCCATGTTGCAAAAGTGGTCAAGACATACTTGGAAACGTTGAAATGGGAAGTCCCCCACCCGCCGTATTCTCCAGACGTTGCCCCCTCTGACTATCACTTGTTTCGATCAATGTCACACGGCCTGGCTGACCAGCACTTCCGGTCTTATGAAGAAGTAAAAAAATTGGATCGATTCGTAGATAGCCTCAAAAGATGACCAGTTTTTTCGACGCGGGATTCGTACGCTACCCGAAAGATGGGAGAAAGTAGTGGCCAGCGATGGACAATACTTTGAATCATAAATGTATAACCAGTTTTTTACAATAAAGCTTCGATTTTGGAAAAAAAACGGCGGAAGCAAAGTTGTATACTTAATATCTGTTTACATTAAGATTGTGTCTAATATGTAACTACCCAGATAACAAAATGTTCCTTGATATAGAAAGAAAATAAGTGCTTAGCAACATAAGTTTCTCTTCAATTGGCATTACATTGCCGACATCAGGGTACCTATCATGGAATATGTCAGAATTCCGATCGGAATTATTCCATTTTTTCTAGAAAATACAATAAGAACTAGGGAATAATTGAATAATTTCGATTCCATTTCGGAATTCCATTTCGATTTGTTCCATGATATATGCCCAAAATAATCTAACATCTAACTTTAACCGTAACATTTTTTACAGTATTTAGCTGTTTTATTGCTGTTATTTTAATTCTTTATTATTTTAATGTTCAATAAAAGTTTTTAATAAAAACTGCATTCGTTAATTACAATCTAAATTCTTAAAGACAAAGTATATATTAAAAAATAAAAATAATATTAGTAAAAAAAGAATTATAGAAATTTATTAAATAATTTTAGTAGAAGTTTGTTATTTAGAAATTTTATATA